TAAGAATGACAGAAAGCCTCTTTCAGGAGAACATTCCCTTCACGGGTCCTTTGCAGGTAGCATATTCCTCTGTAATCAATTACCGATTCCCTCATTCACTCACTCACTTACTACTCATTTATTCATTCACTTACTCAATCATTTCTTTCTCTTTTTTGAAAATCCCGAGGCAGTTTACCAAAAAGAAAATAAACAAAACAAAGCAAAACAATAATTCAATAAGGTAAGAAAATGGGTAAGTCAGCAGAGACGAGAAGCACCATTATTTCAATGAAAGCCTTCATAAAATACAACAAAATTATTTTTTTAAATAGATGAGATCATGCTGTAGATTGGATGTCCCCCCAAAGCTCATTGATGTTTAATTCCCACTGACAGTGTTAAGAGGGTGGGAAATCCTATTTTGGTGATTGAAAGGTGGTGCCTTGTAGAGGTGATTAGATTGTGAGGACCATGCCCTACTGAATGGATTAATCCACTGATGGTTTAATGGTGGTCACGGGTGTGGTTCTGAGGGCTTAAAAAGGAGAGCCAGTGAGAAGGTTAGCTCTCTCTCTTACTTCTGCCTTTCTTGCAGTGTGATACTCTGTGTCACTGAAGTCACCACAAAAGAAAGTCCTCACCAGATGTGTTTCCTGGACTTTGGACTTCCCAGCCTCTGAAACAGTAAGCAATAAATATTGTTTCTTTACAAATTACCCTCTTTGTGCAAACAATAAATATTGTCTCTTAATAAATTACCCCATTTCAGGTGTTTCTGTTATAAGCAACAGATATGGACTAATACAGATAATAAGCAAGGAAGAGAAATTACTAGATATACAGAGGGTATTCAAAAGCATGATGCTAAAAGGTGTTGATGCTAGATGGCCCAAGAGGAACAAGGGGCTGATACTGCTGCCCAGTGAGATGTATTGTCGCCCAAGGGAGATAATGCTCTCAGGCATTTGATTAATGGAAAATTGGAATCAAGCTCTTGAATAAACTTGGGAGCCATGAAGTGCTGTCCCTCCAGGAAATAGAAAACAGAAAACAGAAAAACTGTCCACTACCCTGGCAATTTTCAAGGAAGATAACTGTCTGCCTGGGGCCATGAGTAGTAAAAGTCATATGTGAACACTGGGGTCCCCAATTCTTCTCCATTTAGATCAGCCATGGGGTTGATCTAAATCCACATGACCTATTTAGCACAGAAACCTTGACATAAAGATTTAACAAAATATTATGACTCGAACTGGTGAATCCCAGAGGTACCTGGCAAAAATACACTGAAAGCTATCCCATAGTGATGCCCTTACAACTCAGAACACATGAGATTATCACACTAAAACCCTTGCTGTGGATGAACTCACACCAAAATTACAGATAACATAAGGAGACACACCATCATGAGAAAGTCAACACATAGACTAAATGGCAGAATTCATGTAGTTATGAATTATGAATAACAGATTGAAGCAAGTGATACAAATAAAGGAAAAAATGGAATCCACAGGCAAAATATAGAAATATATATATACAGAAAGTTAGGTTTTAAAAAGGATCAAATGGACTTCTTAGATATGAAAAACAATCATTGAAATCATAAATTCAGTGCAGATGAGGAATTTACCAGAATGCAGCACCAAAAAATAAAGAAGTGAACACATGACAGAAAAATTACAAGTCCTGGAGCACAGAATGAAAAACACAGCTAATAAGAGCTCCAGGAGAAAAGAATCCAAGAAATCAAGAAGAAGCAACTTATAAGGAGATAAAGACAGAGAATTTTCCAGAACTCGGAAACTACATGAGTCCTCAGATTGAAAAATCACAGCTAGTCACTTAAGAACATAAGAATAAAAACACATCTAAAAAAAGTATAAGAAAAATCCAGCCAAAAAAGAAAAGATACCTAAAAGCACCTAGAGAGGAAATACAGATTGCCTACAGAGGAATGTAAAGAGACAGAAGACATTTCATTAGTCAAAATAGAGAATGAAATGCAATGGAATAATGTCATCGTAATACTGAGGTAAAATGAAAGTTAACCTAGAATTTTATGCCCAGTTAAACTATTTTTCAAAAGCAAATGTTAAATAGAGGAGATAAAGATATTTTAATGCAAACAAAAAATGGGAGCTATTGCTACTCACAGACCCTCAATGAAAAGAACTAACAAAAAAGGATATACGTCAGCAAGAAGGAATAAATACTTGAAGAAAGGAATACTTTTTAAAAGGCACCAATGAGCAAACAAATTAATAAAGAACATGGGTAAACTTAAAAAAATATTGACTGTAATTACTACCTGGAGCTAAAATCATAGACAATAATTACATAGAAGAGAGAAAATAATTAACTTTAGAATTCATTAAATTAAGAATATATGAGCATACTTAAAGTTCATGGAAAAATAGAATTAAAAGATAATATTCTTTTCATGAACATTTTAAAGACCCCTCTTCTGTTAAAATTAAAATGGCAATCATTAAATGAAAAATATATAGGATATATACATATATATATGTATATATAATATATAGGATGTATACATATATATATGTATACACACACACACACACTATAAATTTTAATGGCAATCATTAATGGAAAATATAAATATACTTCCTAACCAGTAAGAGAAATAAAAGAATAAAATAATTTGGTCATCCTCTGGAAGTCAGAAAAGGGGGGAAAAAGAATCAAAGAAAAGCAAGATGAATGAAACACAAAATAAGATGGTACAGGTGGGTCCACAAACATCAGTAAATGAAAATGGAATAAAGTCACATTAATATGGAGAAAGACATCAGATGGAATAAATAAAAAACACAGTAAAATTAGTGCTGTTTAAAGAAAGCATATCCAAATAATAACAGTCCCAAGAGTACGGAAGCATATCTACAGTAAGCAGAACAAAGGGTTAACGTTTGCAATGTCTAGATTGTGGACACATAAGTGTTTATTATTTTACTCTCTGTCCGTTTCTGTATCTTTGGAATATTCCATCACAAGAACCTTTTAAAAAGAAAAAATGAGGATGTTAACATGAAAGAAAAATAAAGGAAGAAGGGTAATAACAAGAAGTATGAGAAAGTGGTGCAGAACGTGCAGGTCTTGAAACTCTATCAGAGGAGGCCAAAGACCTCACTCTGAGCTTTCCAGTAGCCACCACAGGGAAAGAAATGCAAGTTGCGTGGCTCCCACAGTGCTCATGCTCAACACGCAACTTGCTGCTCTAGAGATAAACAATAACAACGGCTGATCGAGCTTGAGAAATGAACTTCCACAGGTCCTCATAAAGATGCAACACAAGAGAAGACACCAGAAATCACAGCCAAGACAGCAAAGGCATGATGTGATGTTTCTTAAAACAGAAATCCTAAGTTTCTTGGTCCCTGGGTATTTCTGTCTTCTTCGGAGGCATCTGGTAAAATGCCTCCGAAGTCACTTCCCCCTCTTCCAACTCCTTCCAGTGGGTGACAGGCCCTTCACATGTCAGTAATACAGAAATACCATCCAATGGGAAGATAGAGGAAAAATGAATGAATTTATCTACTGAAGAGTAATAATTAGGGCCCATTTTCCTGCGTAATGCTTATTTCACATGTACAATTTTTTCAGACAGCTGTTTCTCTCCTGTACCCTGTGGTACAGGCCTGTCACTGAGAAGGAGCTTCATTTATTAACATTTTTTTGAATGGAAAATTGGTCAGTTGACACTGGGAAATTTCACTGAAGACTGTTAGTCTAGAAGAAAGGATCCTTTGACTTGTGTATTCCAACCTAATTCCTGAGGAGAGAGGAAGCCTGGTGGAAACCCCTTGTAAAAGGGGGCAGATAGTAAGGAATTGTGCATATATGAATAATACTTTGACTTGTTTTTGCTTCTAAAAACACCTTTGTATTGGCGCAGCGCCCAGAAGAAAAACCTTTGGAGTACAGAGGGGGAAAGTCATTCCATTTCTTTCTAGTTTGCTCAGCATCTTCATGAAACAAAATGCAACCCAACGTTAGCAGATCGAGCTGCCCACAAACACTGGTTGCACTGAGAAAGTTAGATGTAAACACATAGGTGAATCCCACTAGATTGACAATGGTTGCTTTGGCCTTCACAAAATAGATGCGGATTAGTGAAAGGAAATCTGTCTTGAAATTTCTTTCTATATCCCCAGTTACTGTAAGAAGGGCAAGAGTTTTTTTTTCTTTTCTTCAGATTGTAAAATGAAAATCATCTTCTTTGAAGACAGTCACTCGGGTTGTATTGCACTCATTAAGAAGATGCAAGAGCAAAGATTACCCAGGAGTCATGGGGTGACTGGTTTTTCACCAACAGGTGGAACCAGAAGGAGTCCACTCCTGGAAATCTGGTTTGCTTAGATTCTCCCCTCTGTACCCAGGTCTCTCCTGGGAAAGGCCTGCTGGACCCCAAACTACAACAACCAGAGAGGGCTGCAGAGTGGATTTTGGACAGAAAGGAGGGAAGCATAACTCAGAATGTGAACACAAAGTGGATGAGGGGACAAAGTCTGCCCTTTCAATATGCAATAGTGTTATTTGTTTATTAGAAACAGCACAATCTGGTGATTGTGGGTAAAGTTCCTTGGCCACATTTCCTAGACTGGGCCTCAGAGTAATACCAAGATCAAAGTAGGAGGGTTAAATTTATTTTTTAAAAAATTCCTATAAGGTAAATCAACATGCCCACTTTGAAAATCTAGTATTATTATGACTAAGCAAGACACATGTGGACATGCAGCCTCTGAGATCCTGAGTTACACCCCCTGCCACTGTGACGTGTTCAATAACCCCTCTGTTTGGAAATTAGCACCCTTTCATATCCTTGTATGAAACTGGGCTCCAGTGGAAAGGGGCACCAGGTCAGATTCCCAATGGAAAGCCACACATACTTACTTTGGCAATACAAGAATCTGCACAATAAAGATGCAGAAGAATATGAGACAAGCGCAGGTCACATAGTACTTGAACGCTGGCAGGGCAGTGGCTCTGTACTAAGGGCAGAAAAAGAGAACTGTGAATGCTATTTCTCTAGGAGAAGAGCTACACACAATTATCCAGCAGCCTGGGTGAACCTAGGGCATGCATTGCACTCGTAAATTGTAGACTGCGGCAAACACGAGCTCAGGATAATGGCTGTTCATCTCATCCCAAATGAGCTCTGAAAGGCTGACTTCCAAAGACCACGCTTTATGAGTGGAACTGTTCAGAAACCCATTTGCATGTAATTGAATCACTCCAGTAGGGACAGCGGCGCCTGACCAGAAAGTTGAGTGTGTGAACTGAAGGGATCCATGACTCATGCCAGTGCCCTGGTTCCCTTGAGGGTCTGATGCCTGCAATTATTTGGGGAAAGGGAATGACTTTACACATAATGATATTTTACTTCTGAATAGTATTGAGGAAATGCAAGACATATTCATTTGTTTTAGTGTCTTATTTTATTCTTTACCTTAATGCTACTTAGAGATGCTGAGTGAAAATACAAGACAGAAAAGGCCTGCGGACTTTTTCTAAGCTTTCTTGTTCTGTGCCTGGCTGATGGGCTCTTCCCTCCTTCCTCTTGTCCAGAGTAGTCAGCAGGGGCCCACATGGTTCTCCACAGCATCCAGGACTGTAAACTGACTAGTGACAGCTGCCTACCTGGGATTGCCCCAGCTTGACTTATGCCAGAAAAAAAAAAAAAAAGCCAGACAGTGCTATGCTTATAATGCCAATGATCATCTCTGTTGCAAATGGCTCTTACAGTGTGCCAGGCACTCTGAATGCCTGGAGTAACTCATTTAATCCTCACAACAACCCTGGAAGGCAGGAACTATTACTGTCCCTGTTTCTGGATGAAGACTGCAGGCCAGAATGACTGATTAACATCTCAGGGAAACATAGCACATGTAGAAACCAGGACCTTCGAAGGACCAGGCAGACTGGCTCCCAGTTCAGACTCCCAACATAAACTGCCTCTCAAAAGAGGGTTTTATAATAAACTTAAAGGAAATTAAATTTTGTGACAATGCCATTGAAACCTCCTGGAATACTGTCAGGTTGCACTATCTACATTTGCATATGCTGTTTCCAACATTATAGGGAAATGTAAATATTTCTTGGGTTTTAGTACTGAATGATGGATTGGATCTCCTTTTTACCCTTCCTGCTGGCCCGAGGAGCAGGCTGGGGATAAGGAGACAAAAAGTTACCTTCAATCTTGTCACTCTGAACTTTGCCTTAAAATTGTCATTTGGAAATGTATATAAAGCTGCATTTTTAAATGAAGATTACCTCCTGTTTACTAACTTTTTTTGGTGAATTTTGTAACTGAATAGCCAGGATAATTTAAGTGCTGATGAAGGAGCTATATTGGCGTAATTGCTGAAATGGGTTACATGCTATGCATTCAATTACATCCTTATCGTTTAACGTCTGAAGGGCTCTGTGCAGAGATAAGAGTTGGAATTTCATTGTGGTATTAACAAAGAAAATGAACTTCTATCAGGAAGGGGACAACGTAAAAGATAAACAATTAGTAGCCAATAGCATCTGTTAAAGCTATCAATGATAAGGTGGTCAATAATAAGATATATATCAAGTATCAATTTGGTAAACTGACTGCAGTCAAAGTCCTTTACTTAGAAGTAGACAACTGATCCTCTTGACCACCAAAACTAAAGAAAGTTTTGGTGTACCTGTAAAATCCAACCCTAATAAATTTTGGAAGGAATTTTGAT